CATGTTTGAAAGGGGAGACAAAGTTTTCGCACGGAATTATGCAAACGGGCATTTATGGCTTCCTGGGGTAATATCCGACTCTGTGGGTACTCGAATGTATGTGGTGCAGTTGGCTGACGGTCGAATCTGGCGGCGCCACATAGACCAGTTAAGGAGGCGTTGGGCGAAGGACAGCGCTGACTCTCCGACGGCTGAATCCTCGGACGATGAGTGGAGACCCCCAGAGCAGGCGGTGAGTACCGAACTGCCCGGTACTGTCCCCGAGTCAGGGCAGACCCCTGTGTGCGGGGCTGAAACCCCAGTAGAGTTTGTGCCTGAACCAGGTTGTATTGAACCCCACACTGACCCACAACCTTGTGTGCCCATAGAGCCTGCACCGCTTCGCAGGTCTCAGCGTACGCGGCAAATGCCGACTTATCTCAAGGACTACGATTGTAATAAAGTATTTTGGAACGGTTGATGTACAACGACACGACTTGAATGTATGTAAATAATAAAACAAATGGGATGATGACTTAACTTAGGGGGGAGGAATTGTAATGTATTGGAACGATTACATGAATCACCTCATTAGACTCCCATGTTAAGCTTCGAGCCACGCTAGGGCTCCTCTGACCGAACTTCCTATTGGTCGCTTTGTAACAGCGACCAATCAGAACAGTACTATTCCCTGGGAGGGAAAGACTCCCATTGGTCCTTAACTGAGCAATCTCATTGGTTGTTATTTGTAAATAGGCGTGGCTACATTAGCCCGGTTATGTTTAAAAGGAGCATAAGCTCCCACAGTTTGTTGTTCTGGTTTCTAATGCGTTTGAGTGCTTGTTCGTTACTTCCAATAAAGCTGAATCACTTGCTGAATCACTCTACGAGTCCTTTGTTAGCGCGATCTAACAATAATAATAAGGCCATTCACTCCTCAGTGAAGGGAAAGATTGCAACACAGAGGAACACATTTCAGTTCATTTAAAAAATAAACAGAGGCCAAGAAATAAATGTAAAATATATTATATTCTAGAATAAAGAAATCTTCTTAATCCAATTTTTGTCAAAAGGGCTAATTTTATAAAGAACTCTAAAAGAAATGAAAATTTACAAGCTTGTCATATGTCCAGATTAGATTACTGCAATGAGCTCTGTGTGGTGCTGCCCTTGAAGAATGTCTGGAAAGTACAATTGGTACAGAAGGCTGTAATGAGAATGCTGACTGGAGTGGGTCATATCCTCCAGTCTTGTTCCATCTGCACTGACTCCCAATTTGCTTCTGGACTCAATTCAGTCTTTAAAGCCCTATCCTGATTGCTACAGTAATCTTCAGGGACCATGCTTCAGGTGCCCTTGTCATCTGAGGTGAGATGGGTTGCAGCCCAAGAAAGGGCCTTTTTAATCATGGCACCAAAACCATGGAAGTCCCTCCCTTTTTAATCATGGCACCAAAACCATGGAAGACCCTCGCAGGATGATTTGTCTGTCCCCCTCTGTTGTCTTCTGCCAGCAGGTGAAGGCTTTTGTTATTTCATTCACCATTCCCTTACTTAGTCCCCTTCCTGTTTATGTTTTAATTGGTGTTATATATTTTTTCTTAAGGCGATTTTTAACGTATCTTTAACTGTTTGCTCCCTTGAGTGGCCTAATAAAGTTGAAAGGTGGGGAAAATGTTTTAAATAAATGAATGAAAATAAGCAAGGCTGAGATTCATTTGCAAAATCCACCTTGATTGGATTCCACAATCATTCATATTTATAAGCATTTCCTTTTACAAACAAATAATAGCAGCTTCGGGATTTCACAGTCAGCAAGCCAACAACTTCTAACAAGTGGTCTGTTTGCATGAGCATCGTAACATTAGATTTACAAATTCATGCTGGATTGCAGCTTCTCTCCCATGATCTCAATCAGGGCAGCTTTCATTCCCCTATTCACTTCCAAAGCCTTTCAGCTGTTCATCTCCTAAAGCTGTAGTGCACATCACTGTTTACAGCTGAGTATCCCATTTTATTCTAGTCAGTCCAGAACTGTAGTATGACAGAACTACACATTACTGCTCTGTAAAAATGTCAACAGAGACTGTGATGAAGAACTGGGAAATTCCTTGCCTGCTGCTTGATATGTAGAAACCCAGTTAGCGATTGTCTCTCACTGTACACATGAGATGTCAGATCCATGTAAGGCCCTACTCTGAGTGCCACAACCTTCCCAGGCTGTGGCCCTTGCATTCTGGAATTTCCAAACTAGGGAAGGCCTTTCATTGCTGACTTTAATGCAGGCCTTGTGATTTCAAAGAGAGTTTACTGTGAGACTACCGGTGGGATGACTGCTAGCACATTATTTGTCTATTGATCTACTGGTTTTATATATTCAGTTTAATTGTGTTTTATTATTATCTAATTGTTGAAAACTGTACTGAGGGACTGATACATGATATAAAGTAAAGGTAAAGGTTTCCCTTGCTCGAAAGCCAGTCAAATTTGACTCTAGGGTACGGTGCTCATCTCCGTTTCCAAGCCAAAGAGCCAGCAGTGTCTGAAGATGTTTCCATGGTCATGTTGCTGGCATGACTAGACACCAAAGAGGCACACAGAATGCTGTTACCTTCCCACAGAAGTGGTACCTATTTATCTACTTGCAATTTCTTGCTTTCGAACTGCTAAGTTGGCAGGAGTTGGGACCAGAGACGGGAGCTCACTCCGTCATGCGGCACTCGGGTCTCGAACTGCTGAACTACCAACCTTCTGGACTGCAGTTCAGCGTCTTAACCACTGAGCCACTGCAGCCCCTTCATACATGATATAAAGCAGAATATAAATGTAATGATTTATTTATTTATTTAATTTATACCCTGCCCTCCCCGCCAAAGTAGGCTCAGGGCGGCTTCTATAAAAGGTTTTAGACAGATAAAAACAACAGATATAAATACAAACATAAAACATATCATAAAGTGCTAGTAGTCTGTTTGGTGGCGATGGCGAGACGTTGGTAGCATCAGACATAATAAAGTACAGTCGGCAATTGGTTTTAGGACTGACATCTCAGTCCGGATCATACTGGTGAATCTCAGGCTGTCAGTGATTGTATTGGTCACAGGGTCTTAGTTTGTTAAGCGTGGCTCCTTAATCGAAGGCCTGGTGGAAGAGCTTCATCTTGCTGGCCCTGCAGAACTGTAAAAGGTCTTGCAGGGACCTAGTATCTTCTGGGAGGTCATTCCATCTGCACGGAGCCACCACTGAGATGGCCCTGGCCCTAGTTGAAGCCAGCCTGGCATTTTTGGGACTCAGGAGGGCCAGATGGTTTTGGGACCCTGAATGTAGTGCTCTCTGGGGAACATGTGGGGAATGAATGAATATCTATTGGATTCCACTCCAGCCCATGGGTCAAGAGCCCCCTAATATTTGAGAAACAGTTCCAAGTGCCACAAAAAATTTCTTAGCTACATTATCACTGCAGAAACTTTCCAATTTCATCTGAATCCAATAACATTTTCTATATAATATTTGTAGGGTGGAATGCCATGTAATTTACCTAGCAATGTTTTTAAGTACTTTTTGAATATAGAATATCAGAAAAGTGAACAAGGGAATATAACGCACACTGTAGAAGGGACCAATATATAAGGTTTAGTGAGGTAAACAATATATACATTTCTCTGGCAGGTCTATGTTTTGTGGAGGATGGGCAATTAAAGTAGTATTTCTTGTTAATGTTGTGGATGAGTTTCTACTCAACATTGTATTTCTTTTGTAACCAACCCAGTTCCTCAAAGATTAGCTATCCACTGTTTCTGTTTATTGCATATTTTTCCAGACAAAATTGTTCAGTGTGTTTGTGTGCATATAATTTAAGGCAGGTGAACATCAAACGTTAACTGTCTTCCATTTTTTTGAAGAATGTCCTCTGGAGATATAAATTCTCTCAGCTCAAAGGGTCATCAGATGATGGTAAAACTCGAGTCAAGTTACTTTTTCAGAATACAGAAACCAAACAAATTGAAACAAAGGTGGGTAATGCTTACTGTGGTGTTAAATGAAATTGAAGTTATATCAAAGAAATCTCGATTTCTGGTTCACATTACAAAGAATGCACAGTCTTGCAGTGTATCTTTTGCATTCTATATAAGCTGGGCCACAAATAACTACCCTGTGTCGCATGTAGATTTATGATATTTGTGCTGTGACAGTTGATGAGCTGAGCTGAGATGCACGATAATTTGGAACATAACTTTTGGAATGTGCCGGCACTTAGCAGATTGGTAAAAGGATTTTGAGTGCTGGGAACAGCAAGCATATTTTTAAAATGAAATCTTCCATGAGCTGCAGTAGACAAAAAGTGCCAGTTTTGAAATCTTAAAAAAAAAACCACATATACACAACTTTCTCAAAACATTCAAGGTAGTTAAATTTATATTCTTACTGCTTTTCTGACCAAACTAAAATACAACACAATAATGTATTCCATAATGTATAATACAACAATGTTCAAAGGCCAAATTGAATTCTAGAGGGTATAGGAACCTACCAAGGCAGATTAAACCAAAAATAGAGTGGTTGCAATGCAGTGAATGTTGTCTTTATAAAACCGACCAGGCAAAAAAATGCTGTCCAGGCTACAAACCTAAATTCCAGCCTTAAATATATTATTATTATCATTATCATTAAAAAAGCACCAGTCTGTACAGATGAATCATTCAGCTTAGAATATCTGCATAATGTTTTGGGACTTTGGTGGCAGTCACACGCATGAGGTAACGCAGGGGGGGAGCAAGGCTATTTCCCCTGGAGGAATTTGACCCGCAGTTGTGCGATCACACAGTCCTTCGAAGCTGTGGGGGCAGCCCGCCACTGCGTCATCAGACAGCAAAAAAATCCCGACTCACCCACGTTTGCGTCTGAGGCCCGAGGCCCGAGGCAGCCTCGATTCGGAGCCGGACGGGGGGGGGGAGGAAACAGCCGCTCCGAGATACCCCCCCGCCGCCCCTCGCCCATTCCCCGGCCCCGCGGCGCTCTCCCGCTCGCCCACCTTCGCCTCCAGCAGCAGCAGCCACAGCACAGGAGGTCCAAGGAGCAGCGTCGAGGCGTCCCTCCCATCTCGCCGGCCAGCCGCAGAAAGCGAAAGTGGCCGCTCTCCTCCTGCTCCAGGAGAGGCCCAGCGGCGGCGGCGGCGAGACACAAGTGAGGAGGGGGAAGAAAGTCGGGGAGGGGAAGAGAGACTGCCGAGGGCCTCGGTACATGGGGAAAAAGAGAGAGAGAGAGAGTGGGGGGGGAAGAGAGACTGGTGAGGGGGGGATACAGCCCGGCGAGGCCAAGCTTTGACGGGGGGGAGAGAGAGAGAGAGAGAGAGAGAATGGGGGGGAAGAGAGAGACTGCCCCCCGCAAGTATCGCGGGTCTCCCCCTTGTTTGGATCTAATGACAACAGTAGTAATCTTGTCCAACAGCCATTGGTATAAAACGAATAGTGTGGATTTTCAGCAAACAATGACCTTGTTCAAACAGAAGTACTTGGAGAATTTTTTTCTAAACTTAATCATGCTGTTTTCTGTCAGGTAAATGCTGACACCACCACCACCCCTTTACTGGGCTGCTTTTGACGTTACCACTTATCTACTCAGGAGGAATTAATCTTACATTATTTGATAACATTTTGTGTTTATCATTACGGACTACGCTTCTCTATCCTGTGTCATCTAACTTTCCTGTAAACCCTTCATTCCCATTACAGCCTCGACCATTGCATCAATAATAAATATTCAGGTTATCAGCTTCACTTTTTCCTGTGTCCTAGCAGTGACTCTGAATCCAAATAGGTCTTGAAACCTAATACTGGCCTGCCCCTCAAATCAAACAGTCACCTTTCATCTTGTTCTTCTGGCACAGTCTTAAAGCTACATCTACATAAACTGTTGTACAAGCACAAATTAGACTCGCTCACACCTTAATGCTAGTACCTCACAAAGTAGAATTTTGGTTCACAAGACTCTGCAGCTTAGCTTTAACCTTTTTTGTCCTTTGTTTTTGTAAATAAAGTTTTATGTGTATTTATACAAATTGGAGTGAGTTTAGCAGCCAAACCCATATAAGTATTTCCAGTGCCATGCCTACCATCTACCAGAAAATTTATCCCCCCCCCAACAAGTTTCTTACTTTGCTATTGTCATACTCTGAGGCTAAGATTGCAGAAGCCTCTATGCTTTGATTTTAAAAGGCTTGATTCCACAGTAGCTGAGTCATAATCAGAATTCTGGCTTTTCTTTCTGCACTGAAAACTTCAGCCCCACCAGGAAAAAAAAATTGCCCCACAAGCCACAAAATCCTGGGTACAGGCCTGAATGAAACCCTGGTCAAAATGACATTGAAGCATTAAATCATTACTACCCAAGCATTATACAAATATCTGTATTTTCAGGATGTTGTTCCTGATGGTGTGTTGATCATCATTGACTTATAAGAGTAATTTTTATCTACTTGCTTACTTATATTGACATTAATAAGACTCCCTTGGATAAACAATTGGCTGCGCTGGTCAATAACAGTAGCACAACTGTATCTGAAATACCTAAAATAGAAAGTAATTGCATAAGTTTTGATTGCATTGCTATAATACAAGGGAAGTTCTTAAGTCCAATAATATATGTTGTCTAGAGGGAAACTAGTTTGATGATTAGTTTTGTCCTCAACTGCTACCCTTGAATTACAAACACATTATGTGAAGAAATCCTATTCAGACAGTGTTTGTAAAATATAGGTGTTCCAAAAGCAACTCAATAGCACTTTGATTTGTGTGAGCAAAAAAACTTGGTATGGAGTGGGTGTGCTTACTCACTGACCTCTTAAAAAATTGAACACTTTTTCCTCCTGAAGAGAAAAAGAACATTTATCATCACTGAGCTGGTACCATATACACTGTATTGGTCACAATAACAAATTGAACCACATTTTCATGCTGTGATATATATTTGTTTGATACATCCCAGTTGATAGGTTCACAGGGAAAGTAATGTTACTTGACAGAACTAAAGCTTGAGACAGTTAAGACAAATGCGAATTTATAACTGACAGAGAAAAGCTTGGTTTTTCAAAACAAAAATTCTGAGGATCTCCTCCAAGCTTAAGCTCATATTAAAAAATTTCTGAGAGATATGTTCAGTAAGTACATCTACAGGTAGAATCAGGCAGCTCTTCCCTGCTGCAAACAATGGCTTGAAGAATGAATATCCCATTCAAAGCACCCAGTGCTTGGTGCAGTCTGTCTATCAGCATTCAACACCACTTTCAAATGCACCAGTTGAGGAATCCTTAAATGCAGGAAGGGGCATATAGTTCACCTATATAAAGTCTTCTCTGGAGCATGATAAGAGTACATTAAGAAGTACATAAACCAAGTAATTGTGTCTCTAAACATGTCTCAGACCCCACCCACAGAGATGAAGCAGATGAAACTAGCAACGGTGGTTCCTCAGTGGTAGCACCCCCATCTTTGTAAAGACCTTTCCCTAAAAATTCCCTACAGGATTCTCTTATTTGTTGACATTCATATACAAGATCAAAGTAATCCTCTTTGCTCAAGCTTTTAAGTGAATTTTATCCTACTTTCAGTTGGCTATTTTAATATTTTATGACTTTATGCCACTTCCCACTTTGTTTTATACTGATTTTAATCTACTCTGATCCTAGCTTTATGTTGTTCCTTCCATTGGATAACCTTGAGTTTATTTTATATAATTTAGGTTTTGGGCGGGGTTAACTTAGGGTGTTTTTAAAATTTAGTTGGTGCATGATTTCTGTTGTGCATGTATAGTGGCAGCTGCTTGCTCCCAGAACTTTGTTACTGCTTGGAAAGGTCACCTCTGGCCACTGGCTTGGGATAAGCAGGTAGGGTTGCTGGATCCAGGTTGGGAAACTCCTGGAAATATGGGGATGGAGTCTGGGACCTCAGTGGGGTACTATACCATAGAGTCCACCCTCCAAAGCAGCCATTCTCTGCAGGGGAACTGATCTCTGTAGTCTTGAGATGAGCTGTAATTCCAGGGGATCCCCAGGTCCCACCTGAATGGGCACCCCATAGCACCCCATGGGCAAACAAGCTGGTGATTGGTTGATAGTTGCAGATATTCCTTCTAGGCACTGTTGGCATTTCTTAATGTATCCTGTCTATGGCCGTGGTCAGGCGTGCCATTTGGTGCAGAGGGGAAGCAAGCCTATTTTCCCCGGTGGAAATTGACATGGCATTGCACAATCACACATCCTTTGTAGCTGCGGGCTCAGCCCATCACTCTGTGATCAGACAGCACATTTGGGCGAGTAGGGTTTTTTGCCTTTTGTTTCCTATGCACATAAGCAAGGAATCGCACCTCTGCACTGAGGGTTCCCCATGGAGTATGCGGGTATGCACATACTGCTAAGCGGTGGGGGGAAAGGCACCGAATTGGGATGAAATGAGCAGACCATCCCGATGGCATGAGAGCGTGCTTTAGCACTCACACAGGGGAAAGTCCATCTGTAGCCCATCAGCAAGCATGTAGATTAACTCCACTTCCATGGCGGGAAAGCACAGCATGCTGACGGCTGTGGGACCTTTCCCAGATGCTGTTGTCTGATCATGCCCTTTAGTAACTGTAGCCACTATGAACAGCTGCCTTACTGCTTACTTGGCCACCAGCTCATTAGTACCTTTCCTGGTGGCAAGGTAAACAGATGGAAAGGCCCAGCAGGTAAGAACTTGCCAAAGGATCCCACCAATCCTAGAACTGGCCCTGATCCCATAGTTGTTTGGCCCTGAGAAGAAATATCCAAATGTTCTTCAAATTTGGCTTTAGGCTGAAATTTCAGTGCCAACTAAGGTACCATAAGATCAGATTCCTCCTTTATCAACACAAATACATAGATGGTTTACCAGCTTTATATTTCTACCCACTCATATGGAATTGGGGGAGGGGCTTAAAACAGCTGTTAGAGAAACAGTAGAGCAGAGAAGGTGCTTGGGCAGAGCCCAGCGTCTAAAGTTGGGGCTTAAACCATTTGTTAGTAAGAAGAGAGCAGGATACAAGATTTCTGTTTCTGCTTTCCCAGGGTTGAAAAGCATTTTTAAAATCAGAATATTAAAATGTTAATCCTCCACTCAGGTGAGAAGAGTTATGTTGTTATATTTGACAGTGAACTTCAGATTGTAAAAAGAAACAGTTCTTTTTGTTCTTGTGATGCATGTTGGTTTTTAAAATAAGTGAAACTTATTCTTTATCCACTTTTTCTCACTTTTGTTTCAGGAGCTAGAATTTCAGGATTTGACAGCAGTTTTAAACTGCATCCACTCCTTTATAGCTGCTAAGGTTGCATCGCTGGATCCATTGTTTATAGACAGCAAGAGCATTGCAAGAAAAAATACTTACAGTAATTAAAAGAATTATATGTTGTGATTATGGCAAAGAAATTATTTTCTTAAAGAAAAAACCTATTTCATGCACAAAATTGCAATTCCATGTGCTTTTATAAGAGATCTATAGTTGGGTTATCAATAAAAACTACTAGTTTTCACATTTGATTCATCATTGTTAATCTGATGAGTTAAGCATTTATTCAAACTGAATCAGTTTGTTGCCTTGCACCTAAATGCATATTTTCACAATACATAAACTGTAATCTTATTTATGTTTTATTCAACAATTCAGATTAGAAAATTTAATAATAATAACTGGGAGCCAGAATTTACTATTTCTATTCCTAATTTCATTTTCACAAACATTCAGTAACTTCAAATTAAACATCTGCAGCTAACATTGTAGACTGACAACACAGTTTGGCATAAAGGTCTCATGCTGAGCCTTACAAAGACCATTAATTGTTTATAATTAATTCATGTGGTTAAGCTATTTGTAATCCAAGATCCATTTTGAGGGGGGAAATAGACTAGTCTCATTTGTCTACTAAAGAGTTATTTTTAAAAACAAAGATCTGTTATAGCATAGATACTTTTCTGCATCAGTAAGAACAGAAGTATTTGTGCTGCAAATTCTAAAGATGACATCACTATTATAACATTGCTTGTAAAGTTTTTTTAAATACCAGCATGTAGAAGCAAACACTAATAAGATGTAAGCATCTGTCTTTCATTTAGTATTCCTCTCTCAAAAGAGGCAGGATATAGATATTTTAAATAAATAAATACTCCGTTATCCACATAATTTAATTTAATTTAAAAGGAAGCACTTCAAAAGAAAGCTAGACCAAACTGTTCTACCTTGCTATCATCTTTTCTTATCACATGTGTTTTTCCTCCAAAAAGAGGGAACGAGAGGACATCTGGGATGAAGGCCCCTTTTCAGCTCTTCAGTGCCATCCTAAGCAGTGCCCATTGACTGCAATAGCCTCAGAATGGCATAGCTCAGCTTAGAATGGCACTTCTATTGCGTCCCACTGAATAGACTTGAGCAGGATTCTGAGTAAACCACAAACCTACAGCAGCTTTCAAATAGCTTCCTGTTCTTGTGCACCAAACAAATTGATTGAATAAAGGGGGCAATTTTGCATTTTTCATCTCCAATTGCACTAATTCTGTTCTTAAATATTGTTTACAATATATAAATCCATCATTTTAACAGAATACATATTGATTGTTACAAGTTAATCAGACCTTTCCCCCCTCCTTGTAACATCCTGGGGGATGTTTTCAGATGCTGTACAGGCTCTAGCACACTTTTCAAATAGTGAATTACAGATTTGTAAAGAAACTATTGGATTCAGGCAGCTCTTCCAAGTCTTGTACATAACTGTGACTCCTTGGGACAGAATGTAAATATGGATGCACATTTGGATGTGTGAATGAATGGCCATCCAACTGAAAAGTAATGAGAGCATGTCTACATTCAAATGTGTATCTACTTGAATTTAATCCAGTGCATATTTGCATCCGACTGTACATCTGATTTAGATCACAGTTCTTGATCCAGCAAGTGGCATGGTTGTATGTGAAAACCTGCTTCCATGCATCAATCTCCTTATCTGAATCAAGGGAAGGAACTTGAGAAGGGTAGTAATAGCAACTGTCACAATATGAAAGCTCTAATAAAAATCATGTGAAGACAGAAGACGGCACAGTAGACAACATTTTTATTACAAGTATATACATTCTACTTTATTGATAGTTTAATATTCTTAAGAAATTATGATTTCATGTTTCTATTTTCAGAAAATATGTTTACAAGATGGCAATATCCAAAATGTTTAATTTTAATTTTTATATTTATTGAATATAGAATTAAATTAAAGAAAATTAAAGTTATTAAAGATTTAAAGTAGATAATCTGTAGATTATGCATTGTTATCTAGCCAGCTTTTTCATGCATCTCACATAATTCCCCTCCTTACTAGAGACCTGTGCCTTTCGTCCATGCCGAACCCATGATCCCCAACATAGTCTTTTTCACCTGCAGATAAGGTGGTAGGATCTTGGCCATTAATGAGGCCCAAAATATTTTTTTTATAGTCAGTAGACTATAGTAAACAAGATTCTTTGCTTAGCCACACCTCAGTGGTTTGAGAACACAAGAAGCTGCCTTTTATTCAGACCACTGATCATCAAACCCAGCATTGCCTATTCTGACTGACAGTAAGTCTTCAAGGCCTCAAGAAGTAGGTTTTTCCTAAGCCTTGCTACCTGAGAGGTTCTTAACTGGAGATGACTAGGGTTGACACTGGGACCTTACACATGCACAGCATATGCTCAAACCACTGAACCTGCATGAGGTATCAGCATAACCAATTATACATTTCTGTCTGAAGCCTTACCTCCTTGCCCTACATTGTTGTGGCTCTTATTTAGGCAGCTTTTTAGTAAACCAGCTGCAAACTGAGCACCTTAAATTTGTCAGTGAAAAGTTAATTATGGCAGCAGTGGCCACAGAAGAGAGGGAGGCCAACTGCCTGTAATGTTTTAGATCTAGAACAGCATTTGGAAAGGCAGAAGCCTCTGTAGGGTATACTTGCACATTAAAAGCTTCCCATAGTCATGACAGAAGAGAAAAATGGTTAATTACACAGGTCTTTGGAGAGATGTTGATTTGTCCCACATTATTTTCTTCCACTACCCTACCTAGTGGGGGTGGGGTCAGGGGCTTCCAGTGGAATGTCTCCCACCGTGGACCTGGAAGCCCTAGCTGTGCATATGAGAGAGTGTGGTTAGGCGAGGGGCAACTGGAGACAAAGCTTTTCCAGTGGTGGTGGCACTTCTCTTTTAGAACACCTCTGATGAGGCTTGCCGGGCATCTACTTTACTATCCTTTAGATGCAAGGCCAAAACATCTGACCCAGGCTTTTAACTGAAATGTAGCATTATTTTTAGCCAGAATAAGGGATGTTTTATGGATATCATTTTCAGGCTGCTTCGTTTTTTAAAAGCTTATTGATAATTATGCAGTTGTTGTTTTTGTGATTTAGCTATATGTGTTTGTAGCAGGTCTCTAGAGAGGTGGCATATCAGTTTTCCTAATAAATAAATAACATCCATCCTGAACACTGATCAAGCGGTACATGAGCATACCATATGGAACTAAGCGCACAGCAATCATCCTGGTTCGCTGTATGACAAGGAGGAAGGATGGGGGAAGTAAGACCACCCCTTCATACCTGTTCCGTCTGACGCTGTGTAAAACAGCACCTTCTGGACAGATTCAACGCATGGCCAGATTCAAAGTAGAATTAAATCATTTTTATTATTAAGTCCACATGCATTCATAAGAGTCTTTACTCACATCTTCGTAATCTAACTCATTTCACTGGCTCATGGTGAAGATAACAAAAGGCCACGGGAAGAGAGCTGTAAACTCTAATCCTCGCGCCTCTCTGAGTGCCGGATGCTGTGGGATGTCTAAAGACTTCAATTCCCAGGAACCACTGCTCTTAAAGATATATCTGGCAGTTCTACTTAACTACAGTTTAAATGCTGGCTGGGGCAGCACAATACCCTTTAGAAGGTCTGAGGGACACAGTTACTGCTTTTGTTTCTCAAAGGCTCCACAGCCTCAACAGAATAAAGACCAGAGCATGCAGCAGCCATTGTTGATGCACTTCTTGACCAGCTAAAGACCATAATCCACTTTGGAGGTGCTTAGTTTTAAGTCTTGGACATTAAACAGAAAAGATATTATATCACATGTTATGATGGGTAGAGGGAATATTTGTCTACTTGAAAGAAATCCCCATAGAAAAAGCTCTAAACATTTTAAATATTGAACTAAAAAGAGGAACCAAGTGAAATGCTTTGCAGTAAATAAGAAGAAAATACATGAAGAAACTATATTTTTTCCTCCCAGATCTTGAGTGGAGATCTGGGACCCCCTGCTGACCTTTCAAATGTGATAGTTGTTTGTTGCTTGGAGAGGGCAGTGTTTTCCAACATGCAAGCAAAAGAAACCCTTACCCCAGAAAGTTCGGTTTGCCCACATAAGCTCGATTTGAACAAAAGTAAAAGCTATCTATTCTATGTGAGACACATATCAGCCTGAAAGGTTGGCATTACTCCAATCAGAGTCTCTTTTTTGCATTCTGCCTTCATGTTTGGAGTATATTTATTCTCTTTAATTTTGGCTGCAACAGGAACCAAGCCTTCATCTAGAAAACTCGCACCATCTACAACAAGGAAGACCATCCTTCTGCATTTTGCTCCTCATACAGACAGGGATTCTTCATAGGAGAAGAGTCCTGCATTTAGCACTTTTTGTGGAGGGGCGGGGGAGAAAGCATAGGGGGATTAATCCACCAGAAAGAAATGCACACCATTTAGGAGATTGTCAGCACTGTCAATTGTCAATTCAAGCTCCAACAGTGCTGAACACTTCTGGGGGGAGCAGGACTAATTCCAGAAGCATATTGCTGCATGTGAGGATAAATGGATTAGGACCTCTTCTGCAGATTTGTTCTTTAAGCAAACTGTAGGCATCCATAAGTCCTTTTCTGCATATATTAACATAGGATAGGACTAAGAAGCAATGTATCTTCAAAAAGCATACAGAATATTTCCTATTTCTGGAAATCTATGGCTTTTCTAGACAGATTTGTTGTAAGAGGTATCTATTATTGTTCTCCCAGGAGATACAGAAAGTCATGTAAAATTTGTTTACTGATAAAGAACTTTTGTATGTCAAGAGGAAATAAAAAAGACAAAATGTTTTTGCACAAAACATGGATATAAAGCATCTTTCCTAGAAGTCACTAACTGTTCTGGTTTTTCATTATTATTTCATGCCCATGAAAGGTTCTCTGCGCCTCCATGCTTGCAAAAGGTCACTAGAGCAAGAGACTGCTACTCCATCCTCTTTTGTGTGGCATTTCTACAGCATCTCTGCATGTGTACAGTCACCCTGGGGCCAACAACATTTTTATCTGGATGATGAGAACATTTTGT